GCCGTGTGATTGAACGATAAGCGCTAGTGACTGACAAAGCCTCGATGAAATTGGACAGGTCATTGGCCAAAGGTCATCGTAACCCGGGTCTGACGAGGTCCTGACAGTTTGAGCGATGCACTTTTAACTTGTGAATCACGTGTTGAGCTTAATCCGTCACATATTTGCCAACACTGACCATAACGAATGCATCAGTCGGTTTGAGCATACACCGGCAACAAAAGAGCAGAGCTACACATTTTTCGCCAGAAAATGATGAGATTATAGAGCGAACAATCAGTTTGGAATGAAACAGAAGTCAATGGTATATCTAAATCCGGTTATAAACAAACGGTACATAATTATGAACAAGTAACGGAATTAACGTACTTTCATCGATCCGGTTTAATTTGTCACAAAATTCCCAACCGATTTTTCATACTACTTAATAAAATCTACCACTGATTAACATGCTATGCCGCAGTTCTTGAAATTTACCCACTTTTTCGATTTCCCGAGGGCTGTGACATAGCAAGAGATTGACTATATTAAACGCAAAATACCAGCATTACCCTCCCTTTTAAGCCAGAACATTCAAAGACTGAGGGATTCACTCTCGCGTACTGTATGATCGAACGAACCGATCAATAGATTAGTCCCCCCAGAGGTTCTATTCCATCAGATCTTGGTCGGCGGGATGGAGGGTAAGTCACTGGTTAATTCCGAATATCGATGATAATGACTGTCTTAAACAAAGATGAAGTCCTAAGCAAAACAACTTGTGTCGTATTATTATTATATTTCACACTTGTCTGAGGACAGACTGTGTGCCAGGCAAATCATGATACAACGATCTTTATAAAAAAAGGGTTCCATGACTGGCTTGTGGGCTGAATGCAGGTGAATTTTCTTGAGGAAACTACAACCAGAACCTTCGGTTAGCCATTGTGTCGTACATGAATCCCGTTTTGTTCCTCGTCTTGATCACATATGCAGTCATCATACCATGCGTTGAAAATGAATGAGGAAGATATCTCAGTGTTTGATCACCTCACTCTTATACGAACCATTCCCCTTTCTTCATCGGAGCATGGCATTAGAGGAGTCAGTCATCAGTAACCAAATCTGTTATATTCTGCTAACGCATCACCTTCTAAACGGATCTTACGTACTTGGCCAAACACGACTAGCACTAATCATCAGTTTACGTTTCCTATGGTGCAGCGAAATTTGATTACAAACGTCTCAAAACCCGTTACCTTCATTTTCAGTTGCCAACTCCATCAGGTCAGTAGTATGCTTCCGTCTTATCTGTGAGTTCTAGGTTCACTGGTTTAGCGCTGCTGATGAGACACAATCAGGTCGAAACGGCTGTACACTGTCTTCCAGCATTTCAGTTCACGATTCAATTGGTTTGCACATAGCAGAAATCCACCATACAGTCGAATCAACTGGTCAACTACTCTTGGTGATCTTGAGCTGTTCACCTCCAACCCCCTTTAAGTTTCAATAAGAGTATTTTCTCACGAACAAATGATGCATTACATGAACGTTTATCACGTAATACTGATGTGGAACAAATTACTGAGACCAGTCTCTGTGATCCGGAGGTCGGGTATAAGATGTAGTCATACCGAAACCGGAATATAAACATCAATAATGTTTCCTGATAGTGATGAAACAGTAAATTTCAGACTTTTCTGGTCGTGTTGGCGACAAATGGACTCTACGTGGGGAGCGGAAAAAACAGACCAATCTATTCGAGAGAACAACACACAGGTACCTGTAACTCAATTTCTTTCCTCATCTCAAGACATCCCAGGGTATGGCACACCATTCGCCTTGACCAAATTTCAAAATTACAAACGATCAAGACTCGCCAAAATTGACGTAACACTAACAACCAGTTTGTAGAGGACGAAAAAACTAAACGGCACATTTGGCCCTCTGTCTCTCGTTGTCTGGGGAAACAATCGCTTACCACGAGTCCCTGATTACCATTTATTTCTAATATTCTTCTGACCACACGCTCCTCCGCTTGTCCCGGACGATGTTAGTTAAACTTACTCGTTAGCCAGACGTTGATGTACAAATTACTTGTGAGTACTGCACATCTCGCCTCCCCGATACCGTTATCCAACACTGCTGTGTTCACATACGAAGCGTCATGATCACATAAGTGAGTCAATCATATAGCCTCTAGACATTCTTAAATGCATGCAAGTTAGTGGACGGGTCGCAAACAGAGAAAAACAGCATTTGGCTATCTCGTTGCAATCAGTGAAAAACGGCAAAGGAATAAAGTTAAACTATTGGGTGCACAAATAGAGGAAAGCTTTTAGTCCCGTTCGCATAAATCTTCAAGAAAAAAACATGATCTGAGTCCGCGTGACATTGCGGGACAAGGATGGCTTGACCAAATATATCGCAAGATGGCACCGAGGGCGGACCATCCACAATTTCGAACATGAGACTAACAATGAACATGACAACTAATGATTTAGTGGCAAACCGTGAGTTTTCTTACTGCACAGCCATGGTCGTGCACAATGGATCAATGATGGTCTTTGAATATTCATCATTTACCTCATGATATTTTACCCTGATAGTTATTGGAACGACCGATCGATACATTAGACCACGCCACTGGTTAAAAAACGAAACAAATCGAGTAAGCTAGTGTTAAATTCCTCGTCAACTAGGTTGTAGGCGTTTGGCCATTAATCGTAAGTATCATAGTTGATATCCTTCCAACCGAACTTTTAAGAACAGTTAGTGAATGAATAACCTAATTCGCTACCAAAATTAAAAAATGACAATAACCGCTGTTGTCTAGCATTTTACCTATTCGGGGGAAAGGATAAAAACACCTGACCACGGTTGCGATAACGAATACCAGTTGCCGTGCTTTCACAACTTAAAACCAGTTTCATTTTTCAAAACCATTAACCTTGACCTGTCGTAATCCGAAATTATGGCCCACCGATGAAATTGTCATCTATGGTGAGATGTCGAACCTCCAAGTAAACGCTGACCGCATCAGCCTCTGAAATCGGCCTTGAGGTGAACACATCCAAAACCAAAACATTTGCGCAATCCCAATTCATCCCAAAGATGCTTTACTAACAAAAGGTGTGACGATCAAATACGTTAAAAGCTTCAAACACGTGAGCTCAATCATATCCTTAATAGCCAAACTAAAGATGAGATGCACGCGCGCGTCGATGCTGCAAGAAAGACGCTTACACAGCTAAAGAATTCCCCTTCGCGTAAAAATGAAACCAGCCTGAAGACAAAAATACGGGTTTTCTCCGCAGCAGTTCGTCCTGTCCTTCTATCTGGCCACTTAGAGTCGAAGACTGTCGACGGTTAGAAGTATTCGACTACTCGTGCCTAAGAATCATTCTGGGAGTACGATGGAGAGATCCACTCTCAAATGAAGCAGTCAGAAATAGGTGTGTTAAACGTATACTACTGTGGACGCTAGCACAACGGCGGTGACTACAATGGTTTGGTCACATACTCTGACCAAAGCCGCCTTTCATCACCTGTGCGCCCGAACTGGCGCTGTCGACAACGTGGACAGCCGAAAACCTGGCTAGACACGGTACGCAAGGAAACGGGAAACCTCTACTGAAAAAGGGGCAAACTGAAATGAACTGTTAAATAAAGATACTGGAAGAAAGCGAGTTGGTAACATGTCCTAGCCAGCCTCATCCGTGAAGCTTGAGGACTTGCTCCAGTGTGTCACCTAAAACTCTGCGCTTCAGTTCGTAATTGTCTCATCAGACGCAGTCAGTTTTGCGGATCTTCATCAGGTTATATGAACTACAAAAGTAGGTTTGAGTGTATTGGGAAGATAATGCCCAGGACGGTTGATCAGCTTTTACTTCCAAGGCACAGTAGATACAATCCGTATCCTAATAACCCCAACAGTAAGTGCGCCGTTCCCTGGTGCAAAACAACAAACCGAATACGGACCTAAAACCAAGACAGGTTTGCAATCAACTTTGCGAGAAAAAGAGAATGCTGAGTGCAAACGTCGAAACTAACATCAGACGACCATTTCTGACAGTCCCACAGACCAGATTTCATATAATAAACAGAGAAGAGAACAGTTGGTGCCGTTCGATGATGGCAGACAAGCAGTCAATCAAAATGATATCGGAAAAAAGTCAAAGGGACGCAAAGGAACAGTTAATAGCAAATAACAATGAACAAAACAACAAAGAAACTGAAATGAGAGAAAACTAGTGAACTAGTGAATTTTAAAATGAAAACCGAACGCTGCGAAAAATATATTCAAAGCCCAACACAAGTCACGCGTGACTGATAGATCGGACTTCAATGAGAGCAGTGCATCATCATCATCATCTTGTGCCGATATCTTTTTAGTACACTAACAGGCGAATTGAGGCAGAATCGCAGAGTGGGCGACGTCTGTATAATGTGTTCTGGTCTCACGCAACAACACAGACGAGGAAGCGGCTACAGTGACTGCAGTTGAATGCATGAATTGTCCTCGTCCGGTGGAGAGAAAAAGAGTCCAGAATAAACGCGAAAAAGTAGCCCAACCGCATTCGCCAGCTGTAAATCATCATAACTGTCAAATTAAGATGTAGGGTAAACGTAATAACGCGAACAGAAAAGTGATTGCTTGTTGCCAGAAATGTAATTCGCTTAGAGGGTAAGCACCCGTAAGACTAAGAGAAAGGCCTATAGGAGTTGGAATATAGTATGACTAGATAGTACGGTACATGTGAATTCTGGCATTAGTGGCAGTGAATAATTTTGAACCGCACATTGGTTTAAGAACCGTCAACCCCAACGAGTCCAAGGATTTGAAATAATAAGCAACCAACCTACGAAAGTAATTGGAGGAATGAATAAGGATCGACAAGCACACACACACAAGTGGAATAAATGCGACAAACTCCAGCCATCTGGTTGAAATGATTCGGGTTTGTACAGGGACACAGACAAAGGCCACAGGGCGGTACAAGAGATGGAGTGTAGGAATTCTAGCGACGCCACAAACTAAAAAAGGCTGATCGCAAAGGACGATAGTAGCGAGCATCAAATTCTAGAAGCCAAGGATGGCTACGGATCGCCGCCGTCAACGGTGAATGAATCTCGGTTTCCAGTAGTACGGTCAGACCAACAAGTGAAGCGCCCGTTAGGAATGCTGCGGATAGTGCCATGAGGCGCCAACCAGATACCGGGACTACAGCATCATTATCTTCGCTCGTGTTTGAGTGACCAGTTGACGGAGCTTGGACGTCCACTGCCGTGGTGTGGGTTTGCAGTCTGTCCGGCTCGTGATTGGGAGACGAGCTTGATGCAGATGAATTATTGAACAAGCGAGAGAAAGAGAGAAGGGGCGCAGTTCCAGGGGGTTGTTCGATTTCCTAAGAGAGAAAGGATAAAACAAATAGATGTACACCAATTGTATTGAAATTATAAGATGAGAATGTTTTGGGAGATACCGCTAAAATCAACTTACTTCCTCGGTCATATCTGCATGCATAAAGTAGCATGTGGTTCGCCTTTAGAAATGTAGACATGTATAGCTTGAAACAATGGTTCACGTGTAGGATTTCGCAAATGATCCACAGGAAAGTGCAAGATATCTTGTACAATGTGATGTTGACCATGTCCCTAATGTTACATTCAGCAAAATACCAAAACCATTGTTTAACTAGTAACTTATGACAATTTTGCCCTACTATACAGCAACGATTTTGTTACTTCCTAGGAATTGACAGCTGAGAGGTGATCGAAGAGCCAATCCACAAGATATTGGGACAGTCGGTTAAAACAAATACTGCTGAATAATGGTTGGTTCATGAGGTTTATTCCTCTTGTAATTAACAAAATCCAGAGTGATCATCTCACAGTGAAAGGAGTGTAGGCATTAGTCAAGGATTTGAGCAGCAATAGAATACGCTCCAAAATGGTGGAGGGGCGATCGTATAGGATGTGGAACAGCACCTTTATTTCAGATTCATCCCCTTCTGCGGCCCAAGCCTGTCCGGCTTCCGCAGCAGATTGTAACGCGGCAAGTGCAGATTCAGGAGTGAGCTCGCTTTCTTCATCGTCCGTGTCGAATATATCCGAATGCATGTGGGCACCGGTGTTCAAACTGGCCTGGCATTTCACTGGCAATGATAAACGATATGAAAGAAACATGAGAAATCGAATGGGATCACGGTCTGATATAGCTTAGTGAACAACATGCAGAAGCAAAATGACTCGTTTTGTAAATGCTAGTTGCAATGGTGATACCAGATGCAGCAAACTAACGTGAACAATTGAGAAACGCTTCTGGTTGACATGGTAGGTGTGAGTCAACAGCGACTAGTTTCCCTGAAGTTGAATTTGTGAACACGAAGTACGCATCTCGTCGAGATGGCAACGAGAAAAAAAGCACGGCAAACTCAGAAATCAGAATTGAACAGTGAGAATAGTTGGCCTTAGATGCACATGTGATGTTCAAGTGCAATAATTGTGAATACTGTGGTAGCAATGAAAAAAAACAATGTGATATTGTTGTGCATGCTGGTGAAAATGGCAGAGGTGTGCTCAGTTCCGGAATAGAAAACTCACGTTGCATAGAGGCGCTACGGTGAGGATAGACTTTAAAGAGCATACAAAATGTGAAAATATTTCAGAACCGCAAGTGGACAGTCATAAGCCATGAAATACACATAGCACTGGGATGTTGAAAACCAAAGATGCAAATAAAGGAACACTAATACCTTGAGTTCAGTCCATAAAAGCTTGGAAAGGTTATCTTGGAAACAAATTAAAGATCTTTATACGAAACACTTGAAAAGAAACCGAAGCCAGGAAAGGGAAACCACGCTTAATAGAGATACACTTTGTGGGAGTGTTATTCTTAATTCGGCACAGGCACCATTCAACTGACGTCAGATCCTCATATAAATAACAGAATGTTGTCATTAGAAGGCGCATTTCATAAGCTGCACTTCTGATGTATTGAAAAGAGACTACAAACGATCAATGCGTATCCACATGTTCAACGGATCCACAACACAGTTATTTGATTCTAAACAGCTTGGAGGTTGTACACAACTACAAGTTTGTAGTCAATCGGGCTGTATTCCGCAGGATGAATCTCTAGGCCACTATGGGAAAATGTTTATGAGCTTCAGTTCAGCTACCTGGGACTTGCCACAAAATCTATAATGATGAGGAGGACGTAGTAGTAACGTGAGTAGTTGTTTCATCTGATGCGGTATCTGGTGCATCCATGAGGGTGTCAATCAACATCGTCAACAAGCACTGATAATATCACCTCGGCTGGTGATGAAATGTTTGCAAAGAAATTGCCAAGCTCGGCGAACAGGCGAAATGGAACACTTTTCTCAGCTAGTGATGAGAATTCGCCCGAAAACATTAGAAGTCTTAGCCTGGTTTTCATCTCCCTGCACTCCCAAGGCCCGGTGAGAGAATCGGGTGAACAACGTCGAGGTTCATCGTCGTGTTGCATGCTGGGTGTCGTTCTCTAGAAGAGAAAATCATTCCACACCGATTCGGATAGCTTAGTCATGTTCTGCGTATACCGGATTGAGCACATGAAATAAAAATTTTCACTGGCTAAGGATGCTAGGAGATACGGCTACGAATAAAAGTCAGTGGGGCGGATATTGTGCGGACTGCCTGCTGAAACCTCAACCACTGTAAAAAGATAATCACGCAAACAGAAAAAGCATTGTATACCGTTATCTGTCCTTCGGACAAATTTTCTGCATTCCCAGGTTAGGGGTTTAATTCGAGTTGGGTTCTCCTGTAGCACAGATGATAGATGAGTAGTCGATCTAATGAGATGGGCTTCTATTTCGTCTTACCGGGATCCCTGCAGTCAAAGTCTAGTTAAAACAGAAGATCTTGTTTGAGAACCCGAATAATTCTTCTGCTTAGTGGCTGGACCCGTTACCAGTGTCTAATAGTAGCGCTCCCATGAACAAAACAATTCCATGCTGCATCGACCGTCGCGCATTGCTTATGGCGTCGACCGGGGTGGGTTAGTGACCTGTACTTCCCACATTTCTTTGAGGAGGTAACAACAAAAGGTATTTGTTAATCATTCGTGCATACGCGCCAACCGACTTTGGTTTCCATGAAACAAACTTAAAGAAGTCATTTAACTCAGTTAAAGCTCTGAAATTATGGTGTTAGCAGATAATTTCAACGCTCAGGTAAGAAAACTGACTTCATAAAAAGCCTATCTAGAAGGCTGCTTCACTCTACCCACCCAGTCAACAAATAACAGCAATCGACTGCTTCAATTCTACGCACGTTATCATTCGTACTTGCTCCGCACCAACTTTCAACACAGATATCAACGGATGGCAACATGGTGTTCTATTTCATCGGACAATGTGAACAAGTAGCTGTGAGCTTCCGCTGGAGCGACTCGTTAAAAAATGGCAGTTTTTATTTGATTATTGACATTGAGTTTGATCACACGCCAGTTATAACGTGTTCTACGTTTCGACTCATCGGTGACAATTACAGTCTCAGCTAGCTAATCACAGTCCGCATGATCTGGTTGTTTGCGCCCATTATGAGTGGAAACTAAGGCACAGACAAAAAGAACAGCTGGGCGGTGAGGTAAAATAAAACATGCAATGCAATGCAAACAAATTTTGCTTGTCAATCCCAGCCCGAAATCCGTCTACTACATTGAATCTCCGTAAAGTCAGTAGCCCTGATGGAAAGAGTGGAAGATTTCAATTGGCCAAGATCAATATATAGATAGGCGATGTCTGCAGCGTCAATCCAGAAAAAGCCTTAAGAAAGATCGTAAAAAGTGAACTCAAAAAATAGTGGCATCTGCATCAGGGAACAGTCAAACACTATTTAACCTGAAACGCACCACTATAGGTCTTCGAATATCGGTTAGTAAAAGGAACAGGAATAGATGTGGACAAGATATGAACACTATGGAGCAGTGAATAGATAGCTGGCCAAATTATCTTAGCAAAACGCTCGACTGATCTGGTGAGGTCAATCCGGTGGGATTATCTGAAGCATCAAAGGCGGTAACATGTAAACCCCAATGGAACTATAGATAAGATCCTGTATTTAATCGCTAGAGAATGGAAAAGCAGACGGGCCTGCCAGGCCTCCAACAGAGTTTTTAACATGAGAGTAAGGTGATTCTTCATTGCTGGTTTACTACACACCAATGAACTGGAACAGTGCATCACATCACCCAGGAGCGAATAGTCAATCGCGGCAAACTTCAAGACGGAATCACGCAAAGACTGTACAAACCAGTTTAACTATAATTGTATTCTATAAGACCGCCGCCTGAACCCTTTGACAGAGAGGAATACATTTGAATAGTTCACGGAATAACGACCACGTCGCGATCGCATTGACCCAATTCTCATGTTGAATCAAGTGACGGAGTTCCTCTATACATCGTCGACCAATGATTGCAGTTTCTCTCGTTCTAAAGGAAGTCTTCGATTGGGTTGAAAGTGAAGCTCTATATGATTCGCTCTAGAGCAAGGAACGGAGGCAGAAGAACATTACTCGCTTTTCTAGCATACTTGTGACAGCGGGAGAGCGGCTGTGGTAAGCTGAGCAGTGCGCTCGAAACCAGCACTGATGTTCGTTAGAAGTGACACATTTTTCTATTCTCCTTTAATTGCATCGCAGATGAAATACTGGAGAACACCTTAAAGTGTTCTTAAAAACGTGAGTATTGAATGAGCAGCTGGAGGAAAATTGTGCAACTTGATGTAAGCTAATAACACCGAATGTATGGAAGATCCTCAAAATTACAGATTACGTTTCTCCGATCCCTATGTGGCTGGCACTTTCAAAATTCGAAATAATTCTGCATGTGTGATGTAACTTTGTTTCGAATTAACTTATCTAGGTGGTTGCGCATCGGATATTGGTAGCAAAGTATGGAAGAAAACCGCGTTAGTATAATGGTTCGAGCGACGTACGCAGAAATAGAACACTTCTGAAGCTGACGCAAAGCTCCCTTGAAATTGGAAGGTAGCGTTAACTGCTCCATTGTGATTAGTTGTGCTTTATGGATCTCAGACCCTAAGTTTACATGTTTACATAATTCGACACAAACGGGAGGGAGCAACTAGGCAAGCAACGCCGAAGTAAGCGGCCGTTTATGTGGGAATGAACTGGTGAGAAATTCAGTTCCACACCAAAGTCTGATTAGGAGGCATTGCTGATTAGAACACGCATTGCGCAGGCCCCGCTGCAGCCTGCCGCACGAGTCTTTAGTTGCTTTTGCTTCTCCAAGATGACGAAAACCACATGGAAATCAATGGATGACGAGAGGATGCAGGGAAAGGGATGAGACAGAGCCAGTCTCCCGTCTTCAAGTTGGGCTTCATAAGTTATTTTTGGGCACGTTTAGGTTCGGACGGTGGTGAACAAATCACAGTAGAATAATCTTTGAAAAATACAAAAAAGACCCATTATTTGCTCATGAGCGCGATACTGCTGGGTTGTCCAGACCAAAACAGGTGAGTTTTGTTAGGGAATTCACAACCGAAGCCTTTGGCTAACCAAAGCCTGACTCG